CCTCCTCCTCCTCCTCCTCCTCCTCCTCATCATCATCCCGAACGGCATCTCGGAACCCAGAGTTGCGAGGATGTCTCCAGCGTAACGGGCTGGACCACCTCGCGCGCGGCATTTCGGACCCCAGAGTTGCGACGATGTCTCGGGCGAAACGTGCTGCGAGGAAGTCTCAGGCGAAACGGGCCGGACCACCTCGAGCGCGGCGTCTCAGAGCTCCGAGTTGCGGGGGCCTCCTGGGGCCTCCTGGGGCCTCCTGGGGCCTCCTGGTGACCTCCTGGGGCTTTCTCCTGGGCCTCCTGTGGCCTCCTGGACCCCACCTGGGGATTCCTGAAGCCTCTTGGGGCTTCCAGGAGGGGATATCTAACATGTGGCCGTCGGGGCCCCCCGAAATGGGGGGGCCACAAGAGCAGGAAAAATCAACGAATCGACACCGGATGTGTATTAACTTGACACGTTATGATAGGGGGCCTCCTGGGGCCTCCTGGGAGCCTCCTGGGAATCTCCTGCGGACCCCTGGGGCCTGTCCTCGGCGTCCTGCGGCCACCTGAAGCTCTCTGGGGCCTCCTGGGGCTCCCAGGATCCCAGGGGGGATATGTAACATGTGGTCTTCTGGGCCCCCAGGCTGGACCACCTCTTGCGCAGCATCTGAGAGCTCAGAGTTGCGAGAATGTCTTGTGCGAAACGGGCCGGACCACCTTGCGCACGGCATCTCAGAGCTCAGAGTTGCGAGAATGTCTCAGGCGAGACGGGCCGGACCACCTCGCACAGGGCATCTCGGAGCCCAGAGTTGCGAGGATTTCTCCAGCGTGACGGGCCGGACCACCTCGCGCGCGGCATTTCGGACCCTAGAGTTGCGACGATGTCTCGGGAGAAACGTGCTGCGAGGAAGTCTCAGGCGAAACGGGCCGGACCATCTCGAGCGCGGCGTCTCAGAGCTCCGAGTTGCGGGGGCCTCCTGGGGCCTCCTGGGGCCTCCTGGGGCCTCCTGGTGACCTCCTGGGGCTTTCTCCTGGGCCTCCTGTGGCCTCCTGGACCCCACCTGGGGATTCCTGAAGCCTCTTGGGGCTTCCAGGAGGGGATATCTAACATGTGGCCGTCGGGGCCCCCCGAAATGGGGGGGCCACAAGAGCAGGAAAAATCAACGAATCGACACCGGATTTGTATTAACTGGACACGTTCTGATAGGGGGCCTTCTGGGGCCTCCTGGGAGCCTCCTGGGAATCTCTTGCGGACCCCTGGGGCCTGTCCTGGGCGTCTTGCGGCTTCCTGAAGCTCTCTGGGGCCTCCTGGGGCTCCCAGGATCCCAGGGGGGATATGTAACATGTGGTCTTCTGGGCCCCCAGGCTGGACCACCTCTTGCGCAGCATCTGGGAGCTCAGAAATGCGAGAATGTCTTGTGCGAAACGGGCCGGACCAACTTGCGCACGGCATCTCAGAGCTCAGAGTTGCAAGGATGTCTCAGGCGAGACGGGCCGGTGTCTCGGGCGAAACGTGCTGCGAGGAAGTCTCAGGCGAAACGGGCCGGACCACCTCGAGTGCAGCGTCTCAGAGCTCCGAGTTGCGGGGGTCTCCTGGTGCCTCCTGGGGCCTCCTGGGGACCTCCTGGGGCTTCCTCCTGGGCCTCCTGCGGCCTCCTGAACTCCACCTGGGGATTCCTGAAGCCTCTTGGGGCTCCCAGGGGGGATATCTAACATGTGGCCGCTTGGGCCTCTCAAAGTGGAGACGGGAGCACACGAGCAGGAAAAATCAACGAATCGACACCGCATTTGTACTAACTGGACACGTTCTGATAGGGGGCCTCCTGGGGCCTCCTGGGAGCCTCCTGGGAATCTCCTGGGGACCCCTGGGGCCTGTCCTGGGCGTCCTGCGGCCTCCTGGAGCTCTCTGGGGCCTCCTGGGGCTCCCAGGGTCCCAGGGGGGATATGTAACATGTGGTCTTCTGGGCCCCCAGGCTGGACCACCTCTTGCGCGGCATCTGGGAGCTCAGAGTTGCGAGAATGTCTTGTGCGAAACAGGCCAGACCACCTTGCGCACGACATCTCAGAGCTCGGATGTGCGAGGATATTTCAAGCGAGACGGGCCTGACCACCTCGCGCAGGGCATCTCAGAGCTCAGAAGTTCGAGGATGTCTCAGGCGGGCTCCCAGGGTCCCAGGGGGGATATGTAACATGTCGTCTTCTGGGCCCCCAGGCTGGACCACCTCTTGCGCGGCATCTGGGAGCTCAGAGTTGCGAGAATGTTTTGTGCGAAACAGGCCAGACCACCTTGCGCACGGCATCTCAGAGCTCAGAATTGCGAGGATGTCTCAGGCGAGACGGGCCAGAACACATCGCGCAGTGCATCTCAGAGCTCAGAAGTTCGAGGATGTCTCAGGCGAAACGGGCCAGACCACCTCTCGCGCGGCATCTCCGAGGTCAGAGTTTCGAGGATGTCTCAAGCGAAACGGCCCGCACCACCTCTCGCGCGGCGTCCCGGAGCGCAACTGTTCGAGGATGTCTCAGGCGAAACGGCCAATCCCAGCCAACTCAGAAACGAGAGTTGTGAGGATGTCTCAAGCGAAACGGCCCGGAACATAAAATTTGTGTGAGGATGTCTCTGCTCCGACTTCCCTCGGCCGGAGTTAGCTTCTATCACAGCAGCACCCCGTTCGGCAAGCTGTTTGGGGAACAATTTGCCACGCGAAATCAACGCTTAAAACAACGATGTGTTCCGACTTGAAAACAGAAGTCGCTAAAAGTTACACTTCGAGGGGATGAGCCCCGCCGCCCTCGGCCTTCTCAGCACATCGGAGGGTGTCTTGCAGCATCGCGGTGCGTCCTCGGACGCCCGCGTCCGCGCGCGCGCGCTATCGGGTGACCTATGCGCGGGCGGGTCACTCGAAATCCGATCGGTCACCGTTAAGGGCTCACTTCAGTTTCCAAGCCAACATGGCAATTTTGACACTGTGGACATACAGAATTAATTCCCTACGCGCGCGTCCGCGCGCGCGCGATTGGGTGGCCCACGCGCGGGCGGGTCAGCCGAAATCCGGTCGGTCACCGTTAAGGGCTCACTTCAGTTTCGAGACCATCATGGCAATATTGCCATTGTGGACATACCGCGACGGCGACGGCGACGACCGACCACCGCGACGTCATCCCGACCCCAACGCCCACGCAGCCACCAAGAAACCCAAACACCCGAGATACCCAGACGTCCAGGACCCATGCACCCAAGATGCCAAGTTGCAAGCTGCCCAAGAACCCAGACGCCCAAGATCCAATATGTCCAAGACCCAAGACCAAAAACGGCCCAAGTCCAAGACGGCCTCGAGACGGCCCAGCCTTTCCCAGGACGGCGCAACAACAGTGCACGGGAAGGCCCCACCTTGCTCGCCCTGCCCCGCGATCGAAGGCAGTGGGCGGCAAGTTCAAGGAGCTCGCAGGGCTTTCCCGTGAAGCCGTGTGTGTAAATGTGCGAATAATATGTAAAATATACTATGTGAATGTGTGTCATATGTATTGCATGCGTGTATGTGCGCAGCCGCATGTGTTCGTAGCACCCCGCAATGGAGGATGAGAATGAGGGCGCGGGCCGGCGATCGCGGCACCTGCGACCCACCCGGGACCCACCCGCCTCGCGACCCGCCCGTGACCCATCGCCCCCGCCAGCCCTTGAATGGGGCCCGAAAGCACATGGGCCCATGGGCCCATGGGCCCACAGGGGCCCTAGCGGCCTTAGAAGGGGAGAGGGAGGGTTGTTCGGCCCCCTCAGGTTTCAGGTTTCGAGTTTCGGTTCCACGGAGGCCCCAAGACCCAAGACAGCTCCAAGGGGGCCCAAAGATGGCTTCAAGAAGGCGCTGAGAGAGGCCTACGCGTCCAAACATTCACGCATTCTGCATTCCGCAACTCCGCATTCGGCATTCCGTACTCCGCATCCCCAGCGCTAGCATTCCAGCACGCCCCTCACATGGATCCCAAGACACCCGAAACGCTCAAGATACAGAAAACATCAAACATCAAAGTCGACCCCCAAGGTATACCAGGTCCGAGGCGCCCAAGACAACCCAGATACCATATACCCATCTCCCATCTCCCATCTCCCATCTTCCCATCTGTCATCTCCCGTCTCCCATCTCCAATTTCATCTCCCATCTCCCAACCCATCTGAGCCGCTCCTCGTTCATCAACTAAGTAGTGCGTCAACGTTGCCAGCTTCTTGCCCTGATCCTGGTTAGGTTGGTGCGTTGTCTTCGGAAGGGTGGCGAAGCCTTCCCGAATTCCTCGGCGCGAGAACGTCCCGGGGCCCAGGGGCCCACAGGTCAACAAGCCCTGGGTCCCACAAGTCCACGGCGGCTCTCTGAATGCCCAAGAACCCAACATTCCAACATTCCAACAATTTGAACGTCAAACGTCCAGTGGACGAACAGGCGAAGGGACGAACAGGCGACGGGAGGGCGATGCGCAAGGACGAACAGGCGAAGGGAGGGCGATGCGCCCCTCACGGCCCAAGTTAGACAATGCCCCTCCCCCAACGCGCGCACACACATAGCGCTAAGCCCAGTGGACGCTGCGCGATCTAGCTGACAGCAGGGCGAAGCTGCAACATGTTTAGTCGAGCTTGCAACCGTGAGGCATGTGTACATGACAGTTATCGTGCTGCGCTGCGCACTGCGCTGCGCACTGCGCTGGCAGGGTGGGCACGCGGCTGACCATCGAGAGCGTGCTGAACAGCAGTGCGTCGCTACAGACCGGGTAACAAAGCTGATGGCGATGCGCCACGCTGTTGATGCCGCCACTGCCATGCAGCGTGGAGAAGGGGAAGTCCAGGGGGAAGACTCATAGGCAAGAGGAAATGGAGGGTCGCAGGGGTCACAGCGCCTAAACGATACATGTCCTTGGGACAACATGTTCTGAAACCTGACGCTTCCCTAGGAGACAAACTCACAAACTAGCCTGTAATACACTACCGCTGCTGCCGCGCCGAGGCGGCACGGGGCCCGCCGCACCAGGTCCAGCCTGGGGTTAGCTCGGCAATCCTGCAAGCGGCTTGGCGCTCTGGTCATGCTGAGGCGGCACAAGCACGTCGAACCCGACCTGCTGGCTCCGCGATCCAGCCCTGGATAGATCGGAGTAGCTGGACCACATCGCGAATTGTGTTCGTGTGCATCGACACGCCACTCTGGCCACCACGAAAGTGACGAGCAAGGTGAAGCTAGCGACGCTGACGGCGGCGGCCGTGCGCGACCAGCAAGGGGAGGCCCTTGCGAGGCTGACGATGGCGTCGGCCTTCAAGGCGAACTCCCCTGGCGACGCCCGCCGGCGGGCGTGCTCCCGCAGCGCGGTCGCGATGTCCTGGCCGTGCTCGCAGATGTTGTCGACCTCGACGAGGTTCAGCAGCGCCGATTCGCCCAGCCCCCTGATGCGCTCGGCGACGAGGCGGTTGAGATTCGACCAGCTGTTCTCCTGCATGATGCAGGAGGAGCGCGCAACGCCCTCGGCGATCTGCACAGAGTCGTACTGCCAGTGCATCTGCATATTCCACAGCATGCCCTCGGCGGGCGATTCGCGCGGGTTGACAGTGGCGTCGAAATATTTCCACATCGACTCCATCGCCTGGGCCCTGTCATGGTCGGAACCGTAGCAAGAGAGTTGGGGAATGTTCAAAATGACCCCGGCAAGGCGACGGTCCTCCCCCGAGGCGTTCCGGCCATCGGCGCCCACTAGCCTGCGGTCCAGAAGATGATAGCAACCAAGATCTGGCTCGTAGTTCGACTGAACTCGGGATTTCCCATTCACCCACAGCACTGAACCTCCTCCTGGGAGCTTGCCACGCTCCAAGGCCTGCCCGAGCGTCCCGCGGATATCACGGTCCAGCTGCCAGATCCCCATGCGAGTGAGGGCATCCTGTGTGGCATCGCTGCATTCGTCGGTATTACAATTGGCTACCATCACGATCACCAGCTCCCCCGGGTTGGCGTTCGCCCAGCCCACTAGGTCCTGTAGGGCCTCGGCCAGCGGCGTGTGAAATATCACGTCGCCGTGATGCAGGACCAACGTGCCTTTGTGCATGAACGGTCGAAGGTCAAGGGCCCGCGCTCCGCAATCCAAGAGCGTAGCCAGGGTGCCGGGGGGCTGAGTGACCGCGTAATTGTTGACCTGGTGGAGTTTGTGGCAGCTGCCGTCCTTGGCATACGTCGTAGCCGCGTCGTGGGCCATCAGCATTGGCCAAGAGCGCAGAGGCGTTTGGAGCTCGTCCTCGCCCACGCGGGGCAGGGTGGTCCGCAGCGGGGTGTTTCGGCACCCGCCCCCGCAGCCGCAGCAGAAAAGGCCGCATGCGCCCCGGCCGCAGCACGGCGTGCCCGCGGTGCCGTCACCGCACATGCCGCCCAGCATCGAACCACAGCACTCCGCGCGGGCGCCGTGGCGCGCTGCCGCCAACACCGCCGCCACCCAGGCTGCTGCCGACATGCCGGCGTCGGCAGGGCGCCGCGCTCCGCGCGTCTGGCAGAGGGCGCCGCGCCGTACAAATACGCCGACTCGAGGCGGGTGGTTTAAGCCAAAGTGCCTACGGATGGTGGTTCGTGAGGGTGCTCCGTGCTGCACTGGCGACGGGCGGAGCGTGCCCAGTCCCTCTGGCAACTGCACTGCGTGCCCGCCTCCCTCTCCCATCTCACCAGCAATCGAGCAACGGGGATACCACTGTTTGTGCAAAAAAACGGTAAGAGGGCATGCTGAGCTCGACGGCTGCATGTGACGAGGTAAGGTTGCTACCCCTGGCATCATTTTTTGTGAGCAGCGGGCAAGACGCGAGAAGAGAGGAGAAGAGGCCCGTCCAGGGGCAAGAAAAATGGAAATCCGCGGCCCCTTTGGGAGGCTTTCATTACCCAGGCACCCGAACAATGAGCACGCCAGCCTGGCCAGCAAGCTGAGGCTGAACAGCGACTGGCACTCGGCACAAAAAATGGATCGCCTTTAGCACCGGGGGGCACGATTTGTCCGCCCCATTGGTGCCGACAGGAAGCACCAGCAAACTGTCAGAACGGCGGAAGAGAGGAAGAGGAGGAGGAGAAGGAGGAGGAGGAGGAGGAGGAGGGGAGGAATGGGGCGAGAGAGTCCAGCCAAACGCCAGGAGCCGCGTTCAAGCCAACCTGCAATAGGCGAGCCATCGCGCGCACCCTGGGATTGGAGCACTGGGCGGTGGGGCAAGCTTAGATACCGCAGAGGTCATCGCCCGACTGCTCGGCAAGCTGGGCGCCCACATATCCGCTGCAGCGCAAGCGAAGCGAGAGAAAACAAGGAGAGAGACAGGCGGCAGCGGACAACAATGATACAAACATGCCCCGGATTTGTATCATAGCGAGGCGGGCTGGGCAACCCGGGGTATCAAATACAACTAATCAGATTGAGCGAGCGGCGCTCCGAATTACGACCGAGCAAAGCAGAGACCGAGACCCTCGGGAGCAAGCCAAAAACAGGGGAGGGGGAAATTCCGTACAAAACGACAATGCCAACGGAGTTCCCCACATAAAGATATTAACGGTTTCGTGGGACCCATGGGGTACGACAACATCAACACGAAGGAGAAGCTCATCGAACGGGTAAGTATGCACGAAAGGGCATACGAAAGAAAGGAGGAGGGAGGACAGGTGCTCAGGAAACGAAGCCTTGTAAATAGTACGGCTTCCTGATACCTTCCTCGCTCTGGCGGGGCCCCGCTGGAAGGGGGGAAGGGCACGAAACACTGTAATTAACGTGGGTTTCCGATACCCTCCTCGCTCAGGCGGGGCCTCCCTGGAGGGGTGGGAGGGGCACGAAACCATGTAAATAGTATGGGTTTCCGATACCCTCCTCGCTCAGGCGGGGCCTCCATGGTGAGGTGGGAAGGGCACGAAACCATGAAAATAGTATGGGTTTCGGATACCCTGCTCGCTCAGGCGGGGCCTCCCTGGAGGGATGGGAGGGGCACGAAACCATGTAAATAGTATGGGCTTGCACTACCCTCCTCGCTCAGGCGGGGCCTCCCTGGAGGGGTGGGAGGATCACGAAACCATGTAAATAGTATTGGTTTCCGATACCCTCCTCGCTCAGGCGGGCCTCCCTGGAAGGGTGGAAGGAGCACGAAACCATGTAAATAGTATGGGTTTCCGATACCCTCCTCGTTCAGGCGGGGCCTCCCTGGAGGGGAGGGAGGGGCACGACACCATGTAAATACTATGGGTTTCCAATGCCATCCTCGCTCAGACGGGGCCTCCCTGGAGGGATGGGAGGGGCACGAAACCATGTAGATAGTATGGGCTTCCGATACCCTCCTCGCTCAGCGGGCGCCTCTCTGTAGAGGTTGGAGGGGCACGAAACCATGTAAATAGTATGCGTTTCGGATACCCTCCTCGCTCAGGCGGGGCCTCCCTGGAGAGGTGGGAAGGGCACGCAACCATGTAAATAGTATGGGCTTCCGATACCCTCCTCGCTCAGGCGGGGCCTCCCTGGAGGGTATTGTATGGCATGGTAGGTATGGTATGGTATGGTATGGTAGGCATGGTATGATATGGGAGGCTGGAATGGTAGGCATGGTATTGATATGGGAGGCGGGAGGCGGGAGGGAGAAGGAGAGGATGTTTTGGGAAAACAAGAGCACCACTCAGGATGTGGGGAATTTTGCACGGAAATTCCCCCTTCCACTTTTTGGCCCCCGCCCGCGGGGGGGGAGGAAGGAGAAACAAGAAACAGAGAGGGAGGTAGGAAGGAAACGGAGGGGGACTGACAAACTAGCACAGCGAGGGCGACCAAGCTATGCCCGCTATGATTCCGAGACGATTGCAGCGAATGGCGGGTGGGCCGCGCAGGCCTCTCGACCATACTGCCACCAAGCGCCCGCCACGTCCGCGGTGGCGCTATGCCGGGCGGCACACGAAACAGCGTACCTATGTACAATATGCTGCCAGGGCTCGGCGCGCTAGGACCGAAGCCGTGCTCTCGCAAAATGCCGGCTCCAAAACTACAAAACACGACAACCGCGTATTGGGCGCGGGACGGGATAAACGCAAATGTCTGAAGCCCAGCTCGCAACGCACGGGCACTGCGAGAAATGCAGCAGGCTGTCGTCGCCGCGCGCGCGGAACCGAAAGGGCATGGAGCCCACCGCCCAAAGCGGTGAGCTGTCGTCCAACTGTTGCGCAATGCTCTGTGGAGAGAAACCCAAACCCTAGGAGGCACAGACGGTGCAAGACCGCGAAGCACCTTCAGCGCCCGCGGCGTGCGGCGGCTGGGGAAGCGGTGGAGGGGGAGGCGAGAGAGGGAGCGAGAGAGCTCACGGGTGGTGCACCACTGACTGGACCGCGCCAACAGCTGGCAGCACCGCCGTTGCCACTGCGACCGAAGTGCCAGCTCAGTGGACGAGCCCTGGACCAGCCGGGCGACCGAGAGGCCCGCCGCCACAGCGCAGGACTCGAGGCTGGACTGCGCCGCGTGGAGGTTCAGGATGAAATTGGCCTCGTACCGCCCTGACCATGTGCCCAGTTGCACGACCTTGTCCGACGCCGCGATCTTCTCTTGCAGTATGCGACGCCGGCGCGCGATTCGCAAGCCGCCGCTGGCGTTGGCCTCCCAGCCTCCCAGCGGTAAACCTGGAATTTGGCCGCCAGGGCCACCGCGGTGGCGTCGGGGAGCTGCGTTGGAAGCCCTCGGGAACGCAGGTCCCGCAGGGCGGCCGGCGACGTCGAGTTGCGCGGCCCTGGAAATATCAACGCGCATGCCTTCTGCTCGTAGTCGTTCCAGTTCGACGGCAGGCCGTCCAATTGCATGAGGAAGCAGAGAACGGGGAAAATGTAAATGCGGTAGGCAAGCATGGTGAGAAACATGCCTCCCCCCATTGCTCTCCACGTTCGTGCCCGTTCGATGTGCTTCTCCAGCGGCTTGGCCCAAGACAGTTCCCCTCTCTCTGGCCCCCCCTCGAAGCCGAGGTACGCGGCACGCCGGCGCGCCGCGAACTCCTCCCAGGTCGGCGCGGCAGCCTGCAAGCTCGCCCGGGCCACCGCCACAGGAGCCAGTGAGAGAGGGGCCCTGACAGTCTTGCCCTGGCACAGCTGGAGCCCCGCAAGCCGCTCGTACTCGTCGAAGGCGCGCTCGAGGACGGGGGCGCCCCTGGCGCCGTGGGCGAGGGTCATCGCGAGGTCGTCAGCGCAAGCTCGCTGGATGGACCGCGGGACCAACTGAGGAAGGCGACGTAGCAGGACGTCAGAGATGACTGCAAAGAGCAAGGGTGAAAGAGGGCAGCCCTGCCTGATCCCCGCAAGAAGCTCGAACCCGTCGAACTTGGCGCCCTGGGCGACAATCTGGCACCGGCTATTGCGGCACAGCGCCTTGACCAGAGTAAGGCACCAATCCGACCATCCACGAGCAACCAACACGTCTAAGAGGAACTCCTGGCTCACGCTCGGGAACGCGGCCTCGACGGCGAAGAAGATCGCCGCCGCGTCCTCGTACTCCAGGGAGACGCGCAGCATGGCCTCGTCGATGTCAACGAGGTCCGCCAGCATGGAGCGGCCCTGCAAGAAACCGCGCTAAGAATCAGAAATTCCAGGGGCGACAGCAGGCTCAATCCACAAGCGCACGGTGCCAGCGATGATCCTGTTGTCTGCGTTGGCGATGTTGAGTGGGCGCGTGCTGGAAGGCACGTAGAACTCCAGGCCCTGCGAGGTGGCGCCGGATGGCCTCTTGGGCAGAAATTCAATGGAACTCTCGTTGAAGTAATTCCAATCCATCTCCTTGCTGTCCAACCCCCCAGGGCTCACCATGGCCAGGAAGGCGTCGTACAAGGCGCGGGCCGCAAATGTCCCCAGCCTCCGCCAGGCCCGGAATGGCATGCCATCTGGGCCTGGCGAACTGTTCTTGGTGTGAGCAATCGCTTGCTGGAAACACTCGAAAAGGGGCGACCCCGCCAGGGGCGTGTCGCCGGTCAGCAGGGCGGAAATGCACAGCTTCATCCGCGAGCCACTCCTGTCGCAGCCTCCGGTCGGTGTCCCTGCGGCTGAAAACTCCTGCCCAATGGTCCCGAAGGGCTTTGGCGACGTGGGAGGGGTCTGTGCTCACGTGGCCCGCGCGGTCGCGGACGGCGGTGGGAGCATCCTCGGCCAGTAAGTAGGCGATGATTGCGTTGACGTCGTCGTGCAGCCTGGTCGGGCGTGAGGTCGTGGAGGTCATTGTGAAGCTGGCTGAGTTCGTCGATAGCATGTGAGCGAGCCAACTCCACAGCGTGCTGTCGCACCAGTCGCAAGCGGCGGCCATGGCCGAGGGAGAAGTCGTAGGGGTTGTCCACAAGGTCCTTGAGGACGTCGTGAATAACTGGAAGCTCGGAATGGCATAGCCGACCGAATCGGCCTCAAGGCGGGCCATCT